TATGAAACTGTTGATTTCATTTGCGATTACATCACAAGCAATGGGATACACTTACCTATTCCTGTCACCTACATCAGAGACATTATCTTAATACGTACAGAAAATATCGTATTCACCTTCCAAGAAAAGACATATAAACAAATCGATGGTGTTGCGATAGGGAACTCTCTTGGGACCCTGTTAGCAGATATATTCATGTCGAAATCGAAGAAACAAATGCAGGCGTTGCTATGAAAATTTATGCCATATAAACGTTATGTGGATGATACACTCGTTATTGGTAATAATAGTAAGTCCATTGAAGACTTTATCATTCTGTTTAATCATATTCATCCAAATATCCGAGTGACTTCCGAACTCTAATCGAGTAACAAACTCAGTTTCCTGGATAATACTATGACTAGGAGAGATGATGGAACGACTAAGCGATATATTTTTCGTAAACAGACATGAAGCGGACAATATCTTCATTTCACCAGTTTTCTTCCTATCCAGTATAAACGTTCCGTAGTGAAATGTCTGTTTTCAAGGGTCTGGAAAATATGCACGAGCGATACATTGATGGATGAGCTTCGACATATACATTCAGCTTTATTAGCTAAACTTTATCACTTGTCTCAGTAAGGATAGACGACATCTTAAACAGACAGCTTCTGTACCAAAGAAAGCTATCTTTATTAACCTACCATTCAAGGGCGACCAGATTATGCAGTTGACAGCTCAAAGACTTCAGTCATCCATCAGGTACACATTCTATGCCGCATCTCTTTCTCTCACACTTCGGAAATTTTCTATCCCTGTACCTACAATTGAAGGACGAAATTCTGTGGACTCTACTTCAAATTGTATCTACAAGTTCACCTGTAGTTGCGGTGACACTTATGTAGGTGGAATCAATAGAATGTTCCAATATGGTCGAAAAGAATATGTTCCAAAACGGCTACCAAATCATTAAGAGAAAATCCCAATGCGATTAATCTGAACAGAAATCCATCATCATCCATTGCAAGGTACTTATATAATGTCAGGTCACAAAATCAATATTAATGATAGCTTCATAATTATTTCGCATAACTCTAATTTAAGGTTACTGAAGGTGATGGAAGCACTTTGGATTAATCGCATACATCCTAAACTATGGGTACAAAAAACAATAGACTTCAACCTTCGCCTACCATGGACTACTTGATCTATTCAAATATGATTGGTCATTAGTATGCACTTTTGTCTTATATAACTGCGTAATTGTCATGCATTTTATTTTATCAATATTGTAAAGCGATTGTAAAGAAACTGCGAAATGATGTGGAATAAAGTGATCATATTATTATTATCTCGCGAAATTTGTCTTCTAAATGCCTTATTCAAATTTATCAAAGTGACTAAGTGTTTTAATAATGTCAAATTGTCATATATGAGTATTTGCCTTTATGAGTGTTTGTCCATTTTGTTTGTTGTGTGGAAAGCATGTCGAAACATGACAATATTTTTTACAGAGGTTACGACACGGGATTGAATATTTTTGTCTTTTTTCTCATCTTTTTTGTTTCATTAGAGTCTGCCACATATGTGGTAAATGTATCCCTTCCCACCTATTTACTTCATTCGCTGTGGTCAAATATATACAAGGCTTCAGAGGTCAGCTTTTCTTTGTGCGGTGAATGAAAGTCTCTTCCTAGGATTTTGAGATTGTCGGAATTGATCTTATGTTAGCTTTCTACATATGCGTTGCTACAGCTGATCTTTTCTGTTTTCTTTCCTTCACGTTCCCCAGTGGAAAATAGGGCTTCAAGCTAGGGCTTGAAGTTTTTGTATCAGTGTTTATTTTTACAGGATAGGGTTACTAGCCTTATGCCCAACCTTTCCTCTTTACCAGCTTTATTACTGGCTTAGCGAGGTAAACGAGTGCGTCCGTGGCCAGGGATCGAACCCCGGACCATGCGCTTGCTCGGCGCGAGTCCTAACCTCTATGCCCCCAACGCACAATCTTTTCTCTAGACTCTTGAATTCTACTTCATTTCTAGGTGGATATTTCGTGCACAGACTATGTACATTCACTCTGACCTTCACCTGTCTACTACTGTCCTTTATATAGCAAGCTTCACATTCTGAATATTTTATCTTATAGACACGGTTGTTTTATGTCATTTTTGAAAGCATGTCTTTGACATTCACCAGAGCTTTCCCTAGAGAATTAGAAGGCTTGTAATAGACTTTAGTATTATATGAATCAAGTACTCTGTGAACTTGTTCAGCTGTATCTTTTCGATATAGAATAGCTATCATATCGCCTTGATATGATTATGAGCAATAAATTGTACTCGAAACTTCATTAGTAAATAATACTGTATAACACTGTGTGACTTTATCAAAATAAATTTGATCTATAATGGAATTATACTCTAACACACTGCCTAGGTTTTATCTTAATATCCGAATTTGTATGAGAAAGACAGTATCACAAAGTTATTCTACTAGTTATTTAAATGTCATTAATTCAGTTGTAATCCGTTGAAAATCTTGAGGATTTTCTCATTCAAATCCTACTGAGACTACTTTTATTCAATGAAGTAAAATATCCTCAATGATAGTGAATATAGAATGGAATCATCTTCTCCAGTGATTACAACTCACACTTCAGGTAAATATAAAAAACTTCGGATTACCCGTTTGTTGACCAAACAATTTTCTATGAATGTTTATTGATATGATAAGTGACTTTCAAAGAAGTTGACAATATATTCAAGTGTTGGTTTGTAGGGAATTGATTGGTTACAGGATTTCATAATGAGCTGGTATCGGTTAAAGAACAGTTGCAAAACCTGTACTAGAGTACTGGACAACTGTTTCTGTCGTCCAGTTTGAGACTTTTCGGCAGTATGTACCCACAAATGGGGTTCGGACCAAGGACCTCCCGGTTACAAGGTTAGCTGGTGCACCATTCAGGCAATAGCACCCGACCCAATGTCCAGCTCAGGAATTCCAACTTCTGCCAGTTCACGATACAGAGCGACTGGCACTAGCCAATCTCATCGGTGGTGAGTATTCGTCCTCACACCCGACCTCCTTTACTCCACAGGTTACGGTCTCTCACTAGAACCTAGGCAATTACCTACCTTAATAAGGCCAGTGAGACAGAGGTTAGAATTCATAAACCAATGGATTTTGATTCGGTAGCAGAATGGGAAATCGCTCACCTTGTAATCTGAAGTTCCCGAGTCCCATTTCTGTTAAGGTCATGGTTATGAACTGATGAAGAATCCTGAACTGGGATGAAAGAACTGTCCAGTACTAACCTGGTTGCCAGTGGTTCTCTAACTGATGTATCCCCTCGTGAAGAAATCTTTCTCGACTTGTAGCAATGTCAATAAAACATATTAATCAAATCTTATAAAATGCAAATGCTTGTCGGTGGCTTGGTGGTGGAATGCTCGCTAACCACGCCTCATGTGGTCCAGCGTTCGATTCTCGGCCGATGCACTCCTAAACCTTGCTAAGCCGGTAATTAGATCAGTAAAGAGAGAAGGTTGGCCATGAGGCGATCAACTGCACCCCATAAGGGAAACACTACTGCTACCAAAACTTCAGAGCTCTAGCTTTAAGTCCTATGTTCCATTGGGAACGTAAAACAATAAAGTAAAAATGAAATAATATGAAATTGAAATAAATACTGTGTCATGGTAGACAATTTACTGAATTATAGGCACATATTCTGTGACAGAAAGTACACTCATTATTACTTAACGATTATTGTGCTTCACTTCTAAATTATATTGAAAGTCTAAATTAGAAAATCTCAAAGCTGGTAACATTTTGAAGTTGTTGCGTTGTATAACACGCGAAAGTTGTGGCGCCAGAAGTGACAAAGACAGGAATTCAAGTGAATATGGAAGGCACAGAGGTGATGAAGATAGCCAACCAACAAGTAACAGTTACTATCTTTTATTGAATTTGAGATTTCCCCGTCGATTGATTGGACCGAAGTGCTCCGTCTCAGGTTGACATGTCGGCCCAAGTGATCTAGTGGATAAGGCTTTGGCGTTTGAAACTATGGGCACTGGGTTCGAGCCTTAGTGGTAGGAATATCATCACTCACTACGGAATGCAGGTACATCCAACTGACGCGAGTCCCCAATAGGACGAAATGCGCATCTTGGATTCCACTGCTAGTCACCATCCACCAATTAAATAAACAGTTACTATCACCAGGAGAAATTCGAAAGTGGTCACTTTCTACACTTATCTATGTCGCATAGTTTTTACTATAGGCGATACTACGGATGAAGATGTCAGTACCAGCCAGAATCGAGATGGCAAGGTAGGCAGACATTCATCACTCCAAAATCAGTTTGGAAATCTGCTTTACTCCACAGAATAAAGAAAAAAGACCAGATTTTCAACACCAATATGAAGTTAGTCACTTTTTCTATATGGGTCGTAAACCTATCCAGTGAGTCACGAAACGTATTTCCTATAGGCTGCTGTAGATTTTATAAACAGCCGCCTTCACTGGTTCCGTATTGAAGGTTAGATAGGTGGAGAGAAAGAATTAGCAACAAGGAACTCTAATAAATGAACAAATCAGAAACCTTTTTCCCAACAAATATTCCTAAGAAAATCGAGATGGGTTGGATACATGCTGAGCAGACTGCCGAATGACTTCGTCCTCAGACGAGTTGGGCGTGTGTCTGAGAATGAGACATGGGGAACATCATGTGAGGCGGAGGAGAAGAGAGCTTATGGACAGTCACGGACTTTAGAGAACGGGACGAAATGGAGATGTTCTGTTGAAGTTGAAGTAATGTTTCACTAAGAACCCACGGGGAAATAATAGAGTAATGGCATCAACAAAAAAAATTAAAGGTTGAATGGGATGGTAAAAGGACCTAATTACATCCTTCACTGTTATTAAAAGTGACATCACTATATACTACCATTTTAAATGATAAAAAACAGTTTGCTAATGACAGTATAAAAGGCTATTATTGAATAGGACTTACTTCAGAGGTTTCTTTGGAACACTGTCTGGATTATTTGGCATAAATGATGATAAGGCCAATGTGACAGGCTTTGAAAATGAATTACCAAATGTGTTTATCGCAAATGTTTGTTCTGTAATAAGTAATAATAATGGTAAATAAGAGGTAGGAGGAATTAAAAAGTCCCTTCGAAATAAATAATGCGGTTACATACTTTTTACAGTGGATTAACAATTGAACTATTTGTTTATTTATTTATTGTACGCCACTGTCTTCTCCTCTTTGCTATTATCGTCTTGGTAACGCTAATCGGTAAAGTCGTCTATTATGTATGTGTAAAAGCGTTTCAATCAATGCGGTCAGTTTAGCATCGCTCAATCGTTCTTCCTCTTTCACTCTTTCCTTTCTCTGAAATCAAGATAAATGTTGTAGGCCAATTCGATGACACACATACACACACACATATCATAACCGCCTATCACAAAAATGATATTTATCATCATTCTGTGTTTCGCCTTCTGTCTGTCTACTAAATTTACGGGGTAAATACGATTCCCACGCTCGATCGATATAGATTCAATTGCCTATTATTTAGTGGGATCATGATGGTGGGGGGTGTGGGGAAATTTGTCTCTGAAAAATAAAAATACGAAAATTTTCTCTTTTTGGGATAATTGTGGGAACATACTGTTGTTGTAGATATTGATCGAGGATAGAGGCTGAGACTCATCCTCACAACATGCGAGGGGTGAAGAGGGGGAAGGCGTACAAGTTTCTGATGACATGAAACAGACATATATACATGTAACTGGATAAACATACTCGATAGACGAATGTTAGTGAGTATTAACTTAGTAACAGAAAAATATATAGTCAGAATTTACGAGTTGGCATACGTATGATACACACTGGAGTTATTCTGTAAGTTTCGAAGACAGCTATGTACTCAAGTGTTGGTTTGTAGGGATTTGATTAGTTACAGGATTTCATCATGAGCAGAAATCGGTTAGAGAACCATTGGAAAACTTGCACTAGAGCACTTGACAGCTGTTTCTACCATACTAACTTGGGACTCTCCAATAGTACGCACCCACAGTGGGTCGGATCCAGGACCTTTTGGTTACAAGACGAGCTCGTAGACCATTAAGCCACTGGGACCCGATCCAATGGCCCATGAATTCTAACTTCTGTCAATTCATGACAAAGCGCGACCCTAGCCAATGTCTTCGGCGAGTATTTGTCCTCACAACCGACCTGCTGCACCCTGGGTTCGAATCCTGGTGGGTACTCACTGCTGAAGAGTCCCAAACTGAAACGAAACAGCTGTCCAGTACTCCCAGGCTTTCCAATGGTTTTCTAACTAATGTCAGCTCGTATATACTCAAGTGTTGGTTTTCAGGGACTTGATTTGATTGGTTACAGGATTTCATCATTAGCTGACATCGGTTGGATAACCATTGGAAAACTACCACTGCATTAGCGGACGGTTGTTTTGTCATAGTCCTGGGTTTGAACCCTGGTGGTTGATGAATACAGCTGAAGACTACCAACGTAGGCTGACTAAACAGCTGTCCTCTACTTCCTGGTGGTTTCTCAATGCTTCTCTAATTGATATCAGCTGATAAGGAAATTCTGTAAAAGGTGGTTGCTAGACTAATCCTCTGGACATCTCTTTATGTAGAAGTCAACAGTGAAGTCTAATTACATCCCAGTAGGTTTTAATGTCTCATTGAGATTTTGAGTGTACAGTCACTCTTTCAACTTCGTTCATCGTTAACAGACCATAGTAATCCTATTTAGACGGTACAATTCCTAATTTAGAGTATGTATCAGGATTTCAGAGAAAAAAACAACGGGTTCGGCAAAGGTGTCTGCCATTTCGGCGATTTAATTTTCAAAAGCTATACAATTCCATTGATATACATGCGCATTCATTGATACAATTAGTATCTAATTTCACTTAACAAGAAAGGAGATTAAAGGCGATCATTATTATTATTTATTATTGTTCGTTTGGGTTCCAGGTGGAAATTACAGCTTCAACAGCAGTTTTTCGTATTCAATATATTTTCTGCAGTCCTCTTTAGCCGGCTAGCTAAACAATTGCTCATAAGCTGTCATTTCCTACTCACACAATCTCCTCCGTGTCACCTACGGGCCTACTTACCACACTCGTCGTTTCCTATTCGCGTTCCATTCAAGTCTCTATGTGACGCGAGATGTGTGTCGAATTTGTCTTCATTTTCTCCCACATATCTTTTGAGAGATAGATCCTTGGTTAGTTCGTCCCCATAGTTTCTTGTTGCCAATTCCTTTTGGTTGGTCATCTGATATCCAATATGAAGTCAGCAAAGGTAGCTGTTGGTGGAAGTCTGCAGTCACCTGCTGCAAATACTTTTGGTGACATGGCAAGTTTTTGACTCGTATAGAAGGACCGACTTGACATTAGTGTTGAAAATCTGAATTTCCTTCTTTAAGCTGAACGAGTTCAGAAGATTTCTAAAAACCTGATTTCGGAGTGTTGAATGTTTGCCTATTTTGCCTTTTCGATTCTGCCTGGTTTTGATATGCTCATTCGTGGTGTAGTCCGTAGCTGAAAAGACGCTTCAACTACGGGTGAGAATAATTTTCAACTTGGTATGGTAGTTCGAAGGTGTACATATAGATCACAAGGGGCTAAGAAACAAAATTACGCAGGATTGGAAAATAGTTGAGTTATCTGTGAAATAGTTTTTGTTAAGAATAAAAGTGTGAACAGGATGAACATCGAAACAAATTGAAATGATAGTTTTTTATGACTGAAGATGAAAGCAGAAATATAGGGGATGAAAAAATGAAACCAAAGGAAACAATCCGAACTAGATTCATCGTGAATGTAACTGCTGGACTAATTTCTTTTGGACAGGCTTTTTAGTGCATATGACGAAGGCCTCTGTGGTACAAAATGCCTTAGGTAGATTTTCATTAACCTTGTAAATGACTCTGAATAATAAACAGGTCAGTTGAGATGCTCTAACAAGTATGACGAGATATTCGGTAATGGCGGTTCTGACTGAACCAGGGCTTCGCTTTGCAGCCATCCTGGGCAATGTTCTCTAACATGTTTTGACAGGACCTGTGTACCTAACTCCGCACGGACAAATGAACTGATACATGCACAATTGGTTATTAGTGAGTGAAAGAACTTGAATATATCAAGAATACCGAACTATATAACATTGATAATGATAGTCATACTAGTAATAGTAATAATGTTTAAACGACTTAAGATAATGCTACTGATAAAAGATGGTTTTAAATGAATCAGGAATAGTAATGATAAGAGGTAGAATAAAATATTAATAATAATAATAATGCCGGTTAATAAATCAGACATAGTACCATCGTAGATTCAGAGTAACCATCATTTCCATCTGTACACAAAGATCTGGTTCATAAACTCTAATTCCACAAGCCTCCAAATTAGTAAGGATCTTCCTGTTTGTTTACATGCTAACAATAGTGAATGACTTGACAGCACGTCGATATCATGTCCGTAGTTCACAAGATGCTTTATTGTAGGAACTTTTAAGCACCTTGACTTGTGTGTCGGTGGCACAGTGGTTAGGACTCTCGCCGACCATGCACACGGCCCGAGATTCGATCCCCTGCCGACCCACACCTGATATATGTGGTCGGCCTGAAAAATTTGGGCTACCGATATCCATGCTGAAAATTCCATACTTGTACCAAAAATACAGTATGGAATCAAGCTGTAATAAAAAAATAAAAAAAGTGTTTTCAACCACTTTGGCAAATGCTCCATCATGCGATTAAACAATCGTCTTTCTGTACAACCTGCGTACTTGCTCCCACAAACACACACACACACGCACAAGTTGATATGGGCAGTATGAAGTGTCGAGGACTGGAGACTGGTATTTCCTAGATTTTTGAAGCACCTGGTTGGTGTTGGTGTTAAGGAAGACAAGTTTTGCAGCATAAGTTCTCTTGATATCTTTATAGAGTTTTCATTTGACTACTTCTTGTACACACATCTCCTTTGAACGGTAAATTTACATATATAACTTTTGGAACTGTTCGGACAGTTTTGCTGAGGCTCATTTTTTCAGGATATTTACTGATAAACTTCTCAGTATATTTTATTTTTGATTACAGCTTGATTCCACACCGTATTTTTGGTACAAGTAGGAAATTTTCAGCATGTGATATTTGTAGCCCAAATTTTGCAGGCCGACTATAGATATCAGGTGTGGGTCGGCAGGGGATCGAACCTCGGACCATATGCATAGTCGGTGAGAGTCCTAACCACTATGCCACCGACGTACAAAGTTCTTTATATATTGGATCGGAACAAAAATTTTGAAATGTGTGTACCGTCCCGTCCTCTAACTAATGCTAATTCATGAAGAAATCTATTTAAAAAATTTGATGTTCTGTTACGCATGTCACTTTACCCGTTGTATAGCCATTATGGTATGAAATCATTTTAAGTTGAAGAGAACACTTGAATGAGTAAGATATTAATGAATGGTGAAAATATGTTTTTCCTAATAATTTTGTTTAAATTTTTTAGCGGAACTAAACAACATGCCACTAAGTCAGCTCGTTACTATCATAGTACACAAACACCAGGCGGCGGATGCAAATGTTGATAAAAGGGTGGATTAGCCTGCTGGAGGTGCTTTTTGTGACGCGTGAGCGATGTCTCTGAACACTATAGAAGAAGTGAATTACCATTGGTGTTGAAAATTGGAATCTTTTTTTCTTTATGCAGCGGTGTGCAGCAGATTTCCAAACTGATTTCCCTTTCCGATTCTGACTCCCTTTGACAACTTCATCCATATCGTGTGCCTGCAGCTGAAACAATATTGCCTGGTCGGATAATTGAAGGAAGCGGCCTATTCCAAGTTTTTTCCTCTGATGGGATTAGTGTCTGTCGTTAGTGTTGGTTAGTTATTTTCATCACTCCCATCTTCTTTATGCTCACTTGAAATCCTGTCTCTGCTTTCATCTTATTCCATCAGGTTTTTGGTTTTCGGCTGTATATCTTTGAGTTTATGGGATAATAGAAACTAATCATCCGTGAAATCCGTATCTTCTAGAGTCTTCTTATCGGTTCAGCATATTCCTGTCTTGTTGCTCCCCATGTACGGCGTTCCACATAATTCAGTCCATCACATTTGGGAATATCCTCGTGGGAGGCAGCTTTTACTTACTCCTGCTTCCACTTCAAAGGTTTCGCTTAATTTTCGTTGGCTTAATCATATAGCTGTTAAAGGGGGGTTCAATGAAGAGTATTTATTAATTTTTTGGCACCCTGACCTCTGAATTCTAACTTCAACTTGAATTTTGTGATAAAAGCATTTTTAGGAAGTTCATTACGAGCATCAATTAGCTTTCATCACCCCTACATCATTTTGATTATCCTTCCTGTCAGAAAACCGGCACTCTACTCATTGGAGTTCTGTATAGAAGTCCCTATTGTCAGTGTGATGACTTCATTTTAGATCACCTCAAACAATGGAGTAAACACAGTAGCTGTCTTATTCTAGGTGATTTTAATGCACCTCATATAGACTGGGTAGCTGTCACATCTCCAGGATCCGCTGATAAGTTTGACAGCCGGTTACTCTTGACAACCATGGAAAATGCCCTGACACAACATGTCTTAGGTAGTACAAGATTCGGTTCTACCCAAGGATCTTCCTTGCTGGACTTAGTGCTTACTCATGACAACGACGACGTGGATGGTCTAGTTATTCATCCACCTCTAGCAAACAGTGATCATGGGGTGTTAGATTTTAACTTAAGGGCTGGCAATTTAGTCAGTTTTCAACCCAAATCCCGGCCTAGTGTTTGGCATGCTGACATAGTGGCTATAAAGGAGCGTGCTTCAACTGCCGACTGGTCAGTCAACATTGTCTCATCCATTGAAGATGAATGGGATAGATTTAAGAATACACTTGAGAGGGTTACCACTGATCTCATCCCCTGGAGGGTTCCTAAAAGGCCAACAAATCGGCCACCATGGATAAATAGACAAGCTATAACACTCCTGAGACGGAGAAAAAGGTTCTGGAATCTCTTTGTTTCTACTGGGCTACAGCAGTTCCGGCTGAAATACTGTGAAACCAGAAACCAGTGTAAAACTTTGATCCACCAGTCAAGGATAGCTTACGAAACCCAGTTAGTTAAAAGTTCACCAGGCTGCCCAAAAAGACTCTTCTCATATATCAAGAGAAGAACACGTAAGAGTGATGCTATCCCACCTCTTATGCTTGAAGATGACCAGACAAACATGGCTGAGGATAACTTGACTAAGGCTGAGGCTTTGTCCAAGCACTTTAGTCAAGTATTCTCTGATAATATTGATACCAGCTTTGTAAATTTTCCAAAAGGTAACTTGAAAATGGCACCCTTATACATTGGAAAGGATACTGTCCTAAAGTGGCTTCTAAGGCTCAATCCTGGTAAGTCCAGTGGCCCTGATGAACTCCACCCACGTATATTAACAGCATTGGCTGAAAGCATAGCCGAGCCATTGTCGGTAATCTTCAATATGTCTCTGGACCAGTCTAAATGTCCAAGAGACTGGAAAGATGCCATCATTAGTCCGGTCTTCAAAACCGGATCTAGAAACTTAGTTCAGAACTATCGTCCTGTTAGTTTGACCAGTATTGTTGTTAAACTACTAGAAAGAATAATTCGTGATGCTATCATTCAGTTCATTGAAGGGAACAAACTTTTCGCTGTGGAACAGCACGGTTTTAGAGCAGGTCATTCTTGCTTGACCAACCTTCTTTTGGCCAGAGAAAGTTGGGCAAGCTCAGCTGATGCTAATATACCGGTGGATGCCATATTCATAGACCTTAGCAAGGCGTTTGACAGGGTTTCTCATTCAGGTCTTCTAGTAAAGTTAGGTAGTCTGGGAATCAATAAAGTGGTTACCGACTGGATTCAAGACTTTCTAAAGGACAGAAGACAAAGAGTACGAGTTAACGGGGTTTTATCAACATGGGAATCGGTTAAGAGTGGCGTTCCTCAGGGTACAATTCTAGGCCCACTTCTTTTCCTGATTTATGTTAATGAGATTCCATCGGTAGTTAAGTCATCCTGCTTACTGTTTGCTGATGACATCAAGATATGGAGGGCTTTGCACGATGACAGTGATCAACTTGCTTTGCAGGAAGATTTAAACTTGTTAAGTGATTGGTGTAAGCACTGGGCCTTGGAGATTAACTTAAGCAAGAGTGTAGTTATGCATGTATCCCATAGTCACGTGCACAATTACTCAATGAATGGCATTACTCTCCCAGTGGTCACTGAGTACAAGGACTTGGGAGTGGTTGTGCAGCATGACTTGAAAACAGCAACAAACTGTAGAACTGCAGCCACTAAGGGTTTTCGAATGTTATGGGCCATACGCAAGGCTTTTGCGAACTTTGACGCTGATATATTTCGTATATTATATCCGACTTATATCAGACCTCATTTGGAATATGGGATCCAGGCAGCGAGCCCGTGTTTCAAATACGAAATAGACTTATTAGAAAGGGTGCAAAGAGTAGGAACTAAGCTAATAAAGGGTTTCTCAACCCTGTCATATGAGGAGAGGTTAAGTCGACTGGGTTTATTTCCACTGTCATACAGACGACTTAGGGGTGACCTAATACTAGCATACCGTATCCTAAGAAATGATTTTGGAGCTAATTTATCTAAATTATTTCTTCCTTCTAGCACCAACCAATTGCGAGGACATCACCTCAAGGTTCAAAAACCACGGTCGAATCGTCTGCGTCTGGAAATCCGTTTTTCGCATCGAATTGTGAACCATTGGAACTCCCTACCGGAACACGTCGTATCAGCGCCATCCGTTGATTCATTCAAGGCGAGATTGGACCTCCTGTATGCAATAAATCGAAAGGATTAACACAGGCATATAGCCTACTATCCTAAATAAACTGTAAACTGTAAAAGAAATCTTACTTAAACGATGCTTTACTGAACAAGAAATAATCAATTCTGATGACTCCCTTCGCAAGTTTTACACCTTTCAAAATACGATTTCTGAACGCGCGACTGTTCTGTCTGTCTCATTGTCAGTTAAGTCCCGATCTGACTGTTCCAAAAGGAATAGATTTTTGTCGAACATAAGCAACCGATCCGAGCTAAATGCATAGAGGGTAAAGCATTAAATACATTGGGCGAGTTCTACTCTCTGACCTTTCTTGGTGATCCCATATCTTTTCAATTTTTTAGAAAATGTTCAGTCTAACCTCTTATATTAAGAAGTTGAGACAATCTAGAATCACTCAACCTCTACTTTTACAATTTTTTAACTCTTTCGTCTTAGCTATTGTTCTTTATTATTATTTTATTATTGTTCCCTTGGGTTCCTAGAGGAAAATAGGGCTTCAACTGCACGTCTCCACTTTCTACTGTCTTCTGATGTACTTTTTACCTGCATCCATGTTAGTCCATACTGTTTCAACTCCTCTTCACACAATCTCCTCCATGTCACCCTTGCACTGACGTCCCACTTGTCGCTTCCCTTTTGGGTTCCATTCAAGCAATGGCCTGACGCGCGCGCGATGTCACCCAGTGGCCTCCTCAGCGAGTGTTCAATCCAATCTTTATGGCTTTCCTTAAGTCTTCCCTGGACTACTCAAAAAGGGCTAAGTCATTTTGAGAAAGGTATTAGAGATTGTTAGTCAGCTCGTTACTGTAGTATTCGAAAAATGCCTGAACTCATGCGAGAAGTGAGTCGAGTCCATATTGTCCGATACTCAACGCTGTCAATATTCACAACTCTCTCCCACCTTGTGTCTCATCTGGTAGAACTAGAATTCATTATAAAATATTATATGCTTGCTCGTTCAGTCAAGTACAGAAATTAAATGATACCATATTTGGTGTGTGTGCGTCGGTGGCATAGCGGTTAGGACGCTCGCCGACCATACAAATGGTCCAGGGTTCGATCCCCGGCCACGGACGCACTCCTTTACCTCGCTAAGCCAGAAATAATTCTGGTAAAGAGGAAAGGTTGGACATGAGGCTAGCAACCCCACCCTGTAAAATAAACACTGATACAGAAACTTCAAGCCTCTAGCTTGAAGCCCTATGTTTCACTGGGGAACGTGAAGGAAAAAAAAGTATTTGGTGTGTGAGCGTCCTATGTGACACAGATAGTGTTAAGCGAGGAACCAACGACTTGCAATGTTATTAGCAAAATGTTTGGCTCTTTCATCCTCTCCTATTTGTAATCTAGGCTGACACGATTCTTAATTAACTTATAATTTTAGATATTAACATTACTATCCTCATTATTTTACACTTTTTGTACATTTTTGACCTCATTGTCACTGCAAATACCAAAAATCTGCCATTATTAATCCTCTAATATTAATTTTTAACTTTTACTTTTGCTTTTATCGAGAAGATTAGATGTAATAATGTACAAAATGCTGAAAACTTCACACTGTATCATAAGGACTGTTTTGAAATAAAGCAAATTATTATCATTATTACTGTTTATTTGTTTACCTAAGTGGGCTTCTACGAAAACTCAAACACGCAGGCATGGAAAAGTAAACACCCTGAGTAAACTCTTGAATCACTTTTATTATTTTTGTTTCTAAGTATAGCAGATTAAAATCAATAGAATTTTAAAATAATCAATAAACGCGTCACAGTAAACGCAGAAAAGTAGACAACGGAAATTAGTATTATGTTTTTAGAATTTTAATGACACACAAGAAAGATTCAAATCGCTTCAAACCACCCGGAAAATATTTGGATTTTCAACACTAACGTTAGTGCTTCTGTATGGGTCAGAAAATTGCCCTAGCGCTTCATGAAAAGCATTTTCAACGGATGACTGGCTACATTTATTAACAGCTGCATTCTGTGACTCCTTACAAAAGTTCAGATGGCCGACTAGAAAGAATTTTTTGTCTCCCTTACGTTACCAGAGGAACATTGAGCTTCAGGCAACATGCCTAAAGTTTCGTTAGCATTGGTGTTTATTTTTTACGGGATGAGGTTGCTAGCCTCATGTGCAACCTTCCTTCTCTACCAGTCTTATTACTGGCTTAGAGAGATGAACAAGTTCACCAGCCAGGGATCGAATCCTTGGACCATATAAGTAGTTGGCATGCATTCTACCGCTGTGCCACCGACGCACTCAAAAGGATTAGGAACAAGAAGCTGTGGAATCGAATGCGAAACGACGAGTTTGCGTGTGTCCGAGGATGATATGGGGGAGATGACAGCCTATTAGCAATGATGGAGCCACTTAGAGAGGGCTACATGTAATAGGATAAACTGAAGATGTTCTGTTGAAGCAGAATGTTCCACTTGGAACTCAAGGGGATATCAAGCAGAAATTAAACTCACAACTAACGAGCGAATCGGTGAACCGGTGTTTAGACAACTTTGATTTAGTTAGTAAGCAATACTGGTTGATTTAAGTGGTTTACAACTACTCATGTCAATTAGTCTTATTTGGAGGAATTGATTAGTCATAAGGTTGTAATCAGTGTCACGTGTTTAGTTCCTAGTATTAGTGTTGACTGAATACTATCACTCAGATATAAAATGTGGTCATCAAGCCTCGTAGCTCACCATCTTTGTGGATTATTATTTACAATTACTATTCCGACTTACATAAAGCTATAACAATACGTAATTTGTCTGAATCGTGTAATGTATTTGCGCAACACATTTCCAACAATCTGATCACACACGGACTTGTCACAGGAATATATATGAAATTAATAAAGAGTTAAGAGGTGAGAAAATAGACTTAGGTCAAGTTAAAAGGAAATATTCAAGGTCAAAATAACAATGAAGATCACTAAACCAAATAGCAGAGGTAATAGTACATCTGCTGTGGTATCAAAACAAAATTTACCAAAGAAGGTTTAATGTGATGATAAATTGTTTTTGAACGCATAAAGGTGGCTTGGACTTTCTAATTGCTAGGGCTTCTACAAACTTTAGGATACGCCCCAAACACGTTTTATAGATAGGTTTAAAAGATCTGTTAACATCAATTTTATGACCTGTCTCTATAATATGTTTCGCAATAGAGGAGCTAGGTCTCCTATTTTCACCGTTAATAGGTTCTGAAGATTCCATTTGTTTCTGGAGCCATTTTGGAATATGCTCTGAAGCCCTTACATGCAAAGATCGATGAGTCCTCCCTATGTATGTGTGTCCACAGGTACATTCAAATTGGTAAATACAGTGGGATGCGACATCATTTTTCGCATGTTCGAAGGGCTTAGATAAATATAATGGCTTTACATTCTCTATTATTATGATATTAGCTGCATAAAAAGTCTTTTAATCAGCAGCGTTCAGCCTTTGTCTAGTTATCAAGCTGCTTTGATGTGCGGGTAGCTCGATGTACACGCCTTTCTTAGGGGCGAGTTGGAGAGTGGGTCATGGTGTTCTGACTACTTTATATCTCCAGATGAACTTGTCTGGATAATTGTTATCAACTAGAGTTTGTGTCAACTTTCTTTCTTCTTCATCAAGCGTGTCTTCACTGCATATTCGTCGGATTCTACTGAAGAGGCACCTTACTAAGGCTCTTTTGTACCGAACAGGGCAGAAACTGTGATAATTAAGATACTGTCCTGTCCAGGTAGGTTTTCTATAAATAGATCTTTTTATTGACCCATCAAGCCGTCGACTGAGCAATTTGTCTAGGAAAGATAAACAATTATCTTCCTCTTCTACAGATGTAAGTGATATGCTATTCTGAACTTCATTCATTCGATTCAAAATTCAGGTGGCAGAACAAGACTTATCACCTATGATTACAACATCATCTACCTACCTTCTTTAAAGTGGCACATTTTCGATTAAATCCTCCGATAAATTCTTAATGTACGTCACATAAATATCCGCTAAAAGGGGCCCTAACGGACTGCTCATAGCAACACCATCAACTTGTCGGAAACAATCGCCTTCAAATGTAAACTTAACATTGTTAGTACATAGAAGTAATAAATCCCTTAAATGAATAAATAAATTGTTTGTGGAAATATAATCACACAAAATGTCAACTCATTTGATCAAAGGCACATTAGTAAATAACGAATTTACATCAAAAGAGTACATGTTCTTGTTCATAATATTAATATTACTATCGTCAAAAACATCAATCAATTCCAATGTATCTTTTAACACATACTTACAGAATTGTGTTTTTACTGGATTCAATAATTCTACTAACCATTTAGCAAGTTTATGCGTTGGGGATTTGCACATTGACAATATAGGACGTAGAGGATTATTGGGTTTATGTGTTCTGAGGGGAACATAAGACTTCAGCAGCACGTCTTCAGATCGTTCTATTTTATGCAGTCCTCTTTGGCTTAACTCACGACTGCCAATAATCTCTCATATCCTGCTTGCACAATTTCCTCAGTATCATTCTCGGACAGATGTTCCACTCGTTGTCAGGTTCCATTCAAGCGATGATGTGGCGCGCGATATGACTCGACGGTCTCCTCAGTGTATGTCAGATCTATCTCTATTTTCTCCTACCATCGTTGTGCGCTGTGAATTAATTCTTTTATTTTTGATTACAGCTTGATTCCACACTGTATTTTTGGTACAAGTATGGAATTTTCAGCATGTGATATGGGTAGCCCAAATTTTGCAGGCCGACCATAGATATCAGGTATGCGTCGGTAAGGGATCGAACCACGGACTATGTGCATGGTTGGCGCTGTGCCACCGACGCACGATAGCCAGGGCTTCCCGCTGATTGCCTCCTACCACCTAATATCATTCCAGAGTGCACCTCATTGGTAAATCATCTAGCTTGGTGAATACATTTCAAACCTGGTTGATAGACTTCATGCAGCACTAACACAAAAGTTATTCCTTGGTGGCCAGATCCTCATATTCCCCAATTTATTTTATGAAGGATACATCCTTGAACACTTGTAGCACAGGTGTACACTCTTTAAAGTTCATTACAATTTCCTGAATAATCAATTTTGTGCATTTAGGTTTAAAATATTTTTGAAAATTAATTTTCATCATGAACAAGGCATACAAAGCGGATTTAGCAAGTGTCTCAATTTAGTTTGAGGTTCTAAAGAAGTGAGAATTAATAGGTCTACCTAACTTGAAATGGGTGGTCTTCTACAACCTGGGTGTCATACTTGGGTGTATGTAGTTCACAAGTACTACATTTACTTGATGTAGACTCTGTATAGCTTTCGAGATAATGTTTCGATATAATAGAGAGCAGTCGTAGCTCAGGTGGATGATTGTGATGTAATTGTGTTCTCTGAGCTGGATGGTTTACTTGCTAAGCTTTCATTGTCTTAGTAGACATCATCTTCAGCGCGCATACTTCAGTTTGTTGAAGTGAGCTATTAATTTCTCCACGAGTTTATACGTCATATCTCCTCGTGAACAGGAACATTGTGATTGGTTTTTTTTGTGTATTTTCACACCCTCTGTTCTTTATAGGTATTGTAGGTATCGATTGTTCCCGTGACCTGAATTTTAACTATTTGTGCATGAGATTTTCGTCTTATGAATTGGTCAATGTATCTATTGTGATTTCTGATTCACTGGAATACCAGGCTTTGAAAAATTCTCTGGCATTTTTGATGTGTATTCTGTCTAATATATGAACGTTGCCCAACTAAATTGGTGTCCATGTAGTTGCTCGTATGCAGTGATATGAGGGATTGAAAATAGCGTCTTTTGATGTCCAATTTATCTTTACTGATGCAAAGGCGAAGAGGGCATCCACTTTGACCAACAGAATGTTGTTTCACAGTTGTTGCAATTTGTCTCGTAGATGACGTTGGTTTTGGTTTCTTTCACTGCTGAGTCTTTTGGTTGACATAAAGCGTAGTGAAGTGCTTTTGTTGGTATGTGTGCAACATCAATTCTTAAAGGTTTGAAGAGTCTTGTATTGATTTCTGAGACGTCCTTTATACATGGTAAGACAAGCTTCTTTGCGTTTTCCTCGGGGATCTTTGATTTGTCTGCTTGGGGTGAGAGCAGATGTCATTTGACCAAGTTTCATGGACATCCACTTTTTTGTAAAACGCTTATAAGATATTTTTCTTCAATTTTCTCTAAGGTAGGAGTACTGCAATGAGTCCTGCATCTCTTGAACACTGTTTGTATCCAACTATTTTTGCATGTTATTGGGATGAGTTTGTTGTGTGAGTTTCTGTATAATTGAGTTCCTAATTTTCTTGTAGTTGTTCACTGTGCTAAGACGTCTGAAAATGGAATTTTGTCCTCAGATTCTTCTTCTCTTGTGAATTTAACGTTACCAGGATGCATCTTACTTTAGTTACTCCCAATAAAAATTGCTGCAGTGTTACATAACTTGTTAAATCGTTACAAATAAAAATGCCTTTGTGAAGGTGACATAAACCATTATGAATGTACGCGTGTAAAACGTGGAGAGGAATTAAAAATTCGTGGGAAACATTTCACTTCCATGGTTAACTTAAAACAAGCAACAACTGG